TGTATCAGTGTATTGCCTGCATGTATGTAAGTGTACCTGTGTCGTGCAATGCCTGTGGAGGTCAGAAGAGGGTGTCAGATCCACTGGAACTGGAGTTACAGACAGTTGGTAACCACCGTGTGAGTGCTGGGACCCAAACCTGGGTCTAAGTGCTCTTAACCGCTGAGCCATCTCTCCAGCCCTATATTTTGGTTATCTTAGTAAATCTTTTTATTTGAATTAATTTTATGGTTGAATTTTACTTTAATTTATAAAGGTACAACCTGCAAATAGATAGAATTTTACTTTCCCAATTAATATGTGTCTGATATATTGTTTCCTGATTGTTTTGGCTAATGTCTCAACTACACTAAGAAATGGTAGGTGAGCTAGTGAGTGCCTTGCTTTGTTCATGATCTTGGTAGAAGTATCTTTGTTGCTCCTTTGATTTACTGAGATCTTGTCTCTTAGACCAAGATGCATATGTAACTTTATGTTCATGTTTTAAAAATACTGCTTCTTTCTAAAATTTACTGATGCTCTGTTAATCATTGCATCATCAATTTTTAAAAAAGAGCTTATGGGCCAGGTGTGGTGGTGCCCTCCTTTAATCCTAGCACTTGGGAGGCAGAGGCAGGCGGATCTCTGTGAGTTCAAGGCCAGCCTGGTCTACATAGTGAGTTCCAGGACAGCTGGGGCTACAGGGAGACCCTGTCTCAAAAAACCTCTGGCCTGTGCTCACTGTGCTTTTTTAAAAAAATTTGAGAACACTTTTTTTTTGCTATTTATTTATTTATTTATTTAAATTTTTGAGTTTTTGTAATTTCATACAATAGTTTTTAATCAATTTTAGACCCCTCTCCCATCCATGTCCCTTACCTCCCCCCACCAGACTTTATGTATTCCATTATGCATGTTAAGTCCAATTCAGTCAAGCATTTATGCTCAGATGTCCTTCAATGTTAATTCGTCCACCGGAGTCTAGTCAGCCCATCTGGAGATTATATGTAAGACATACTCTCCCTCACCCAGTAGTAATCAGTCTCCAATAGTCCTCAGTCTGTATCCCGCCCACCCCCCATTTCTCTCCTCCTCTCTTGGCCCTTGTTTATGAGTTGGCATGGGTCCTGTGCTTGATGCCACTATTGCCACAAGGTCACATGTACAAGCTTTCAGTGGCCTGAAAACCTCTGCTTCCCTGTGTTCATGAACAAGCCCTGGCTCTTACAGTCTTTCCATCCCCTCTTCCACAATGGTCCCTGTGTTCATGAACCAGTCCTGGCTTTTACAGTCTTTTCATCCCCTCTTCCACAATGGTCCCTGTGTTCATGAACCAGCCCTGGCTCTTAACAGTCTTCCCACCCCCTCTTCCACAATGGTCCCTGTGTTTATGAACCAGCCCTGGCTCTTACAGTCTTTCCACCCCCTCGTCTGCAGTGGTCCCTGAGCCATGGGTGGGTGAGGTTCCATATAGGAGTCTTATCCAGGTACACACACTCTGGAGTCTCTTATTCTTTTTTTTAGTTTTAAATTTCTCCCATTGACTCCTTGATGAGTGTGGGAAGGGTAACTACAAAAGTCCCTGAGCCTTGGAGGGGGTGGTAGGTGTGGGATGATCTTCCTCCCATTGTGGCAAGGCACTGAACTTTCAGATCTCTGCATCATCTGTTTTCCATGGGCTGTTGGCCCATTTTAGTGGGATTCCATCTCCTGTAAAAACACAGTAAGAAGCAAGAACATTTAAACAGTGGCTGCTGTAATAATCTATGGGTGTAAAGACAAATGCATGGATGGTACTTAAGCAAGTGCATCACATCCATCTAACAAAATAATTGCAGTGCCTCCCCACTGGGGCCTATCTCCTCCCCTGCCACAAGGGGTTGGCCTGGTCTTGAGAACATTATTTTTATAAGTTTGATATACATCAGATACACGTTATTGATTGTTATTGTGATGGTTAGTTTTAATTGTCAACTTGACATGTTCTAGAATCATCTGGGAAAGAAGTCTTGGTGAGGGATTGTCTAGGTCAGGTTGGCCTGTGTGCATGTCTGTGGGGGATTGTCTTGGTTATGGTACTTGAGTGGGAAGAACTGCCCACTGTAGGTGACACCATTCCCTTGGCCGAGGAGCCTGAACTGTGTAAGAGCAGAGGAGGTGAACAGTGACTGGCACGCGTGTGCTTCTCATTCCTTTCTGCTGTTGACTGCGTCCACTGTGACTAGCTGTCTCAACTTCCTGCTTCTGTGACTTCCCCACAGTGATGGACTGTGAAAAATGAAACCGAGACAATGACTAAGATACAAGTCTTCTGTGTTAATTTTATATCTTTTTCCCCGTTTCATCTTGCACCAAGATGGTATGTTAAAATGTCCTTTCATACATGTGTTTCTTTTTCCTAGCACTTTCTGTGCTTTAGAGATAATAAAGGTGGATGCAGTATTATTTTGCACATATATGAATTACTGTTATATTTTCACTGAATTGTGACGTTTAACATTAAAAAATACACTTCTTACCATAAAGTGGAATTTAAACCAAAATGCATTAATCCTGGGATAGCAACCCAGTATGGTGATAGTATGTCAGCAGTGACGACTCCTTCTCCTCCTCCTCCTCCTCCTCCTCCCCCCCTCCTCCGCTCAGCCCCAGCGCTCGCTCAGCCACCCGGAGGGACGCGAGCCGGCCGCCCCG